TTCTCTACTGTTGATAGGGAAGAACGGACCCCACCCAACTTAAGAACATCCCACCAGAAATTATCCCTCCCCTCTGTGCATCAACAGGTTCCCCTCTTGCCTAGATTATCCCCTCCAATAAGCTCTCATGTCTCCCATTGCCAGCTGCACATTTCCTCATCTTTACTTTGCCAGCACAACAAGGGAGTGGTCTGTACCCACTGCCTCTACTTCCGGTCCTCCCATGCTTTCTCCAGTCCACTCCAGCCAGGTGTGGTCCCTACCAACTCTCCTCCATCAAAGACAACAATACCCTCCAGGTGAACAAGTTGAAAAGTCAGCAGCATTGGCATAACCGATTACTCCGTGATTCTCAAAACATTCACTTCACTTGACTCCAATTCTCTCTCTTTTCCTCATTGGCTGCTGTTTCCCAGTCACGTTGGCCAGATCTCCTTTATCTTCTTCATCTGCTGAACTCTAAATGTTGGAGTGCCCCTAGTCTCAATGTTCATACCTCTTGTTTGCTATTCTCTTCTCTATCAGTATTCGCAGATTCTCTATGCTAATGACACACAGATTTCTATCTCTAGTCCACAACTCTCTCCTGAAGGCTATGTTCTCGTGTCTCATTGCCTACTCAACTTTTCCACTTAGATGTCTGAAGGACATCTAAAATTTACTACATCCAAACCCAAATACTTGAGCTTTTCTTCCATACCTACTCCTCCTGTAGTCTTCCTTATCTTACTAAATGGAGTCTCTATTAATCAGCTGTTCATGACCAAATCCAGAATTCTCTTTGACACTTCTCTCACATCCCACAAATGAATCATAAGTCCTATCTGTTTTACTTTGAATATCTATCTAGATTCCATATAAAGTCATCATTGTAGTCTAAATTACCATCACCTCTCTCTCTGCCTAATAGTCTATGCTTCCACACTTGTCCTCCCCTTCCACTTCACAAACAGAATGATCTCTCAGGAATCAGGGCTAGTCATGACTTTCTCTGCAAAAAACCCTAAAAATGCCTTCTCATTTCACCAAACTATAACCCTGATGGCTCTCCCTCTGGCATCATCTCTGGCTATTCTCCTTCCTATTCATCTGTATCAGGCACAGTAGCCACTTTGCTATCCCTGGAGCATGCCAAGTCCTCTCTACCTCAGGGCCTTTGCACTTGCTCTTCTCCATATTTGAAAATCTTGTCCTCAAGATAGCTTCAGAACTTGCCCCCTAACTTCATTCATATCTCTGCTCTAATATTCTCATCAGGGACGCCTTCCTTGCCTCCACCACCCTATCTGGGAATGGTCCTACCCTGTCACTCCTGAGCTCCTTTACATACTATTTGATTTTACAATTCTCCTCACCCCCAGATATTATAACATAAAACTTGATATTACACGATATTAACTATATATATTCTTGTATATGGTTCTATGTATTTTTATATATTATATACCCCACACACACAGGCTCATTGTCTATCTCCCTCTCCCACCCCATCTCATCACTAGAATATGAATTCAACATCCCAGCTCATAGAAACTGTCTGCCACATAACAGTGGCTCAAAAATTGTTGAATAAATTACCAAAGCTATTCAAGTTTGATCAGTTCGTCCAAGTGTCACCTGTGTGGTGCTGAGCTGAAGTTTTATGGTTTAGATACACTCTGAAACATCAGATTTTGAAATAATAAACCCTACTCATAATTCTGAGGAATTTGCCCCATGGGTAGAACTCAGTTTCTTCTTAACAGAACTTCCTTCAATATATTTGTTCCTCCCGGCTTTGGCAATCTCCCCCCTCTAAACATCTCACTCTGCTCTCTCTCATTGGACATTAACTTTGTCCTGCTATATCTTGTTCAAGGTACCACATTTAAAATTCTGCCTCCTGTTCCGCCTAAGGGAAACCATTACATCTTCTCAACATCATCAGATCCTCTAATTGGGTGCTCGAGAGCAAGAAAATCAAGGACTTGCGAACTGCTCATTTCTTCTGTCTTCCTTTGCTCATTTTTTGTTTCCTGAGTAATTCTTCCTATCTTATTTTACAAAATCAAGGAGATTTATAGAAATGATGTTTATTGACTTTAGTACTATGGTACAAGGTTATTATCCCTGTAAATCATATCCTGCTTAGAAATGTATCACAGATGAAACCCATATTCTGGATCAGCGCACACACAGAACTATATAGAAAAAAAGAATTAGATCAGAAAAGGTTGAATGTTGCAGACATGGGAAATAAACTGATCTCTACTTAAGCTACTACCATGAATACACAGAGGGAAGAAGCTGCATCTGTTTCACATTGTAAATGCCTGAAGTGTCCAGAGCGGCACCATAAACCCAGAGAGTGGCCAGGAAGTACTCACTATAAGGGTGCTAAGTCCATCCATAGCCTGACTTCTGAGGTAGTACTGTTAAGTATAATTTCAGATAATTCTGAATTTGTTTAATAGGCTTTAAATCAAGTAACCTACTTCTAACTATTGAAAAGGAACTAACTCACTCCTTACTAGGCTTCAAGCTCCTTAAAGGTAAGGTTATGTCTTATTCACTGCCACAGGGCCACATGATGGCAGGACTGGACGTGACTTTAGAGGTCAATTAGTTCTAATCCAACCACCCTGAATGACTGGGTAATACAACCTATTACAGTTGCATTTGGTTTTTTCATCTCTAATTGCTGTACCATCTCATACATGAGAATTTGAAATGAAGCAAACTCCAGTCTGAATCTTTGGCAAGTCAACTAATTGAAATGACCTAATAGACTTTGTTGGACCCATCTGGGACCAGAAGCAAGGTGGCAAGATCAGCAGGCAGTAGCCTCCCTCCCCTTCCCCCTCTGCATCCCACACCCAGGTGCCCAACTCCTCACAGCTGGGCAGCCATGGCGGGCTTGTAAAGAAATGAATTTGCATGGCCCTCACAGGGATCTTCTCTTTTTTTTTTTTAGATTTTTTTTTTTTTTTTTTTTTTTTTTTCAGACAGAGATCACAAGTAGGCAGAGAGGCAGGCAGAGAGAGAGGGGGAAGCAGGCTCCCTGCGGAGCAGAGAAGCCCGACGCGGGGCTCGATCCCAGGACCCCGGGATCATGACCTGAGCCGAAGGCAGAGGCTTTAACCCACTGAGCCACCCAGGTGCCCCCACAGGGATCTTCTCAAGCCTGGCCCTAGAAAAAACATCAACTGGTGCTATCAAAATGCACAAAGTCATCGCCCTGGTGCTCACATACTTACAGGAATGAGGAATGTAGAAACATCGCCATCCACAAGACTAAGAACTGGCCCTGCCAGGGCAGACCGTAGATCAGTCCTCTTGGTCCTCGCCAGGGCACCAGACAGGGACCTCGGAAGCATGGTGTTTTGTCAACAGGGGCACTGGACCCAAAGTCAGGAGACTGAAACCTGCTACAAGCTCTGAGGCTTCTCTTCATCTGAAAACCATAAAACCTAGCTGAGAGAAACTTTCCATGTGGTTCTAGACCTACCTGAGAGGTCCTGCAATGCTGTCAGAAAAATCTGCTTGGTCCCTTCAGCTTCCTGTCATCCATCTCTTAGCTTTCCATGCAGATGATCAAAATTGGGCCTTTTAAAACTCTGCCCTCAAAAGAAGGTGGTTCAGAGTCACATTTTGGCTGGTATCGCAAGACTCCCAGGGCAATGCTTCATTGCTTCCTCAGCATATGCCAGTGCCCATTTTACAGGGGGGATTTATGATCCTTCTCTCAGTAGAGCCAGCCAAAGTTTTATAATATTCATTAAAAATCAGCACCACATGTAATAATATGGAATACTGCCGGTACACAAGGGGGCTAAGTTATAGGTGTTCAGGGAAACGTGGCAGAATTTCTTGGCCTTGACAGGGGTAAAGTTGCAGGCACCAGCTCTGCACTAACACAACCTTCCTTTATTGCAAATGTTCCTTCAGTCTAAGTCCTAATTACTTTCTGTAAAATCCTCACCACCATCAAGCCTTCTGACAGGGCAGCCACACGATGGCCTTAAAGTGCAGCAGCAACACCCCGGCAGCCTCCAGAGTCAGAGGCAGGGGAGAGGCTGGGACAGAGGAGGAGCTGGGGCTGAAGCTGAGAGGGAGGCTCTTGGTTTACACTTCGCAATTGCTCTCGCCGCTTAAACAAGTCCTGGGGGCTCACGGACTTGCTTAGTGGGACTGGCCGAGGCTCCCGGGTGAAGGATTCAAACGTCAACACAGCTGGCGGGTCGGAAGCTACTCTTCCTCGCCCCACCCCCACTCATGAGGGGCCCCGCTTAGCTTTGCGGGGGCCCGTGGAGCATCTTTTCCCGCCCCTCCTGGGAAACGCTAGACAACCCAGGAATCCCAGGTCTCGACGTCTAGCTCCTCTTCCCGGGGACAGGGCCCTGGGCTCTGCACCCCTCCCCACGTGCCACACCAGCCCTCACCACTCCCGCCACCCCTTAAGCCCTCAACCCTTGCCTTTCAAGGCCCTCACGAGTCCGGAGCAAGGCCGGACCCAGCCAGGCGGTCAGCGGGGCCGGGAGCAGGGGGCTCTGCTCGCAGCGCGGCTGCACAAAGCGGGGAGTGCAGCGGCGGCTGAGGCGCGCCCCCTCCCGCGAGCCAGCGGAGCGCGCGCGCCCGCCCCCGCCCCTCGCCCCCCACCCCAGCACCCGGAGCGCCATTCGCGGAGCGGCTTACGCTAGTAGCCAGGCGTACGGCGCCCCAGCGGCCGGGGAGGTGCGCTGCCCGGCTCCCGTAAAGTTATTGTGAATGGGGAGCGGGTGACGTCAGCGCCGAATGTCAACAATGTAGCGATTGAGAGTGTGGGCGTTCCGGGGAGAGCGCGAGCCGCGCGGTGCGGAGCAAACAGCGCCGAGCCGCCGCCGCCTCAGCAGCAGCAGCAGCGACCGTGCACACCCGGGCTGCGGTCGCAGCAGCGCTAACGTGAGCACCCGCCGCCGCCCTCGCCACCCCGCTTGCCTACTCCCGCTGCCGCCCGGCTCTCGCTTTCCCTCCGGCCTCCCTTCGACCCTTCCCCTCCCCCTACCCGGCACACTCGGGGGGCTGGGAACGAGCTGCCATGTGATGCGCGTCCTCTCGGTGAGCTTTTGGTGACCCCCGAACCGCCCACCGCGCCGGCTCCCTGGAGGGGGCTGCAGGCTGGGAAGACGTTGGGAAGAGGAGGCGGAAAAGGACGCAAAGTTCTCTGGCGAGGTGAGTCTCTGGCCCCGGGTTCCGGGGCCCGGCGCGGGGCGGGGCGGCGGGGCAAGTTTGCGGAGGGCGCGGGTGCGCGGGGCAGGCGGGGAGGCGTGGGGAAAGCGGCGCGGGGAGGGAGCCGCGGCTGCCCGGCGCGCAGCCTCGCGTCGAGCGCCCGGCCCGCTTTTATGGCATTTTCTAGGAACGGGAAGGGGGTGGGAGCCAAGCCGGCGGACGCGCCGCGGCGAATGTGAGCTCTCTCGCCAGGCTGTTTACGGCAGGCGAGGCGGCATTGTATTTTGCTCGCGTCTACGGGTGTTTTGGAACAGCAGGGGGAGGAGGAGCAGAGGGTAATAAGTCAGGCGTGGGGAGGGCGTGCTGGAGGGAGGCGCGCGTCCGCGCGAGCCGGAGCAGCTGTCAGACCCACGGCCCTGTTCCCCGGACCCCAGCCGGCGATCCCAGCGCCAGGCCCGGCGGCCTCCTCCTTGCTCGCGGCGTCCGCGCCTGGGGCCGCTCCGCAGGGACTGCGGCCGCCGCGCCTTCGCGCTCAGCTGTCAGTCGCGGCTTGGTAGCTAGGACCTCCGCGACTGGCGCGGCATCAAAGCCCAAGTTTAGGGTCCCGAGAAGAGGCAAGCTGGGGGCCTCGCAGCGTTAACCGCGGGATGGCATTCCTACTGGCTAATGACCGCGTTATCGGAATGCGTCCGCGGGAGCTCGAAGCGCGGCGCTCGTGCCTTCAGACTGGGAAACCTTGCACCTCCACCCCCCAAGATTCTCCATGAAATCAAAGTGCAACACACAACATCCTCTTCTTCCTCCCTGCACTTCAGTCTCCAAGCTCCACCTAGGAGAGGAGTTTATCCCGGAGACGCATCTCCACTTCCCCACGCCAAGGCTCCCTGTGATCGCTCCGTACTTCTCTCACGGGTGGGTGCTCAGTTGCCCAGTGCCTTTGGAGAGGGCGGCGGGCGGCGCTCATGGACTACCCCAGCTGCCCGCGAGAGGGGACTCGAGTGAGCATCTCGTCCACCTCGGTCTGGCGGAGGATTTGCAGGAACTCGAACCGTGGGAGGAAGCGGGCAGGGCCGAGTGTATGCATGTGAAAGGGGCCGCGTACCCTTGGCTTCGGGGGTTGTGGACGTACTGGGTATCCCCAGCACCTTCTCGCGTGTGGGCGAGTTTGACAACTTGGGGGAAGTTCCGGTGTAGGCACTGTCCGGATGGTTTTGTCTGTGGCCGGAGAAGGCGTGCCTCGCAGCTCTCGCGCCGGGTCATCGCGGTCGCTGCGACCGGGGGCCCCCAAGAAAGGGGAGGGACGAGGGCGCCCCACCCCGACTGAGCCGCAGACTCCCGGCGGGCCCGCGGGTAGCGAGACACGGCGTTCCAAGGTTTTCACCTTCACTGTCTAGTGCTGCAGTCGCACTCCGTGTGTAAATTTCATCTGTTGAGCATATTTAACTAAAAAGGGTAATTACTTTAGATAAAAATCCTTTTCTGCCTAGTGGGAGCCTTGGCGGAGATGATGCCTAATGAGATATTTTGCTTTTGTCTGTTTAGAGTAAAATTAGAGATGTTAACTCTGATAACGGTTTTCTCAGATCATTAAAATGTAACATGTAGGAAAGGCATGTCGAGCCGCGAAACTCTGGCTGACGTGAAAGAAGCTGAGCGTGAAAGGCTGCCACTCTTTCGGCGGAGAGGGCTATTTTGGTAAGGCAGCGGGCGTCTTGCTGAAAATGTGAGATTGCCCCACCCTGGTTCTCTGGCAGCTCCCGAGTAAATGGCATTTTTCATTCTTGCAGGTAGTAATAAACGTGAGTCAAAATGACATCTTGTTAGAATTAGTTTTTAGTCTGTAAGAGAGATTGTTAAATTACAGTGTTGCGCTCAAACTGCTCCAGTGAAAGGTCTGTCAGCATTTCCATTATAAATTCAGTTTTTCAGGAGTTTATGATTTCACCACAAAACTTGTGGTGGCTGAAGTGTTTCTCCCTTCCAGTGTTCTGGTTTGGAGAACACATTGATTGATTGCCCAATTCTGCCCTATTTTGCTTTTCCTGAAACTTGGAATGTCATTCAAAGGGGAGGGGGTTCCCCAAAATGGAACACAGGACCATGGGATGAAGTACTTTTGTTAGAACACACTTTATATATGCAGAGCAATATTTTCATTTTGGATTTTGGAAGGCTTTAGCTTTGACATTTGGTAATCTTAAGTGTGTTAATTCCTCTGGTATCTGTCAGTTCTGCAGGTGGATCGAAATGTCAGTTCCTATTGTATATGCCAGGATTACATGAAAAAACATTCTCTTCATACATGTGTATGTATGAACTCTCAGCTAAATTATGAGTACCTTTGTTAGTTACTTTTCTTTGTAGGTGGCATGTGAGGATCTGCCATAGAGAAGCAGGGATAAAGCAGAAAGGCAGGGAGGGAATCAGAACAACCCTCTCCTCTCCCCACCCCAATTCCCTTTTCAGTATCACTAATGCCTGGGAGGAAACCATTTATTCTCTTTCTATTGAATCATGCCTTTGACTCAGTGTCTTCAGGCAAGTCCCTTCCAGTGGCTCAACCTCTGGCTGCTGTTGGAGGGGCTTAATTATTTGCAAACTGCCTTGAAATCCCTGGATGAAAGGCACTGCATAAGTGCAAAGTATTGTTATTCAGATATGGGATTTAATGATCCATTACAGTTCATCAGGAAATGCACTTTGCAGTGATGGTAGGAAACGTTTCCACCTGATAGAGGGTAATAATAACTGCTTAAAAGTAGGTTCAGATTACAGATGAGACAATTAACTCTAGCCATGTGCTCTTCAATTTGTTGCAATTCATTTTGTGATCAAAGTGAGTCGCAGAGAGCCAGATGGTCAGGTTCATGTTCAAATCTCTCCTAGGCCAGCCCTTCCCTTCTGGGCCCTCTGTCTGCACGCCGCCGGGACTTATTCATTAGTGCTTGTGAGCTGTTCTGCAGAATGTATGATCGGGGGCTCCTGTGATGCCAACAAAAGGGCTCAGGCCAATCTATATTGTGGGAGCAGTTTAATTTTACTTGGATTAACTCGCACTTAGTGTCTCTGGTATGGATCCAGCCTTAACAAGGGAGGAGAGGGATCCTGGAAGCTCTGTAGCTCAGCTGTGTGGCGCTTTCACTCCCCTACCTTTTGTACCTCAGATTTCAGGGGGTTGGGGTATCTGGCTGGTTGTAAATACTGGCTTCCTTGCTGAATGAATGACGGAACACTCAGAGAAATAAAGACCCTTCCTGTTTTGCTGAGGGGGTGTGGTGTCTACACCTGGCTGTGTGGACCTGTGCTTGTTCTGTTGTACCCTCCTCCCCTGCTCAGACGGGTCTCACACTTGGTTAAAACTTCTGTTGTTAATCTTCTTGAAATCCTTAATAATTCTTGAATTCAGAGCCCTTCATTTTCATCTTTCACTCTCCTGGTGAGGACGGGGGCACAGCACAGAGGGGCAGGCAACCACTATTTTGTCTCAGCTTCTAGTCGTCGACTGTTGCCAGGTAGGGATGGGTGGGAGTACAGGCTTTGTGTTACCATGCTATCTGATATACCCAAGAGAAGCTGTTTATCTGATAGACTTCTACGTGGAATCCCTAATTTTTAAAGATTAGCTCAAAAATTTTGATATGTTGGATGAGAATAATACGCAGTTGCTAGAGCTGGCCGGCAGGCAGCCTGTCTTCTACCACTGAACCAGCTTACACATCTTATTGTTTGATATTTCTGTATCTGGCTGTTTCCTAAGAGCCTGACACACAGGAGATGATTTATGAGTCTCCACCAAATAAATGGTTATAGCTATCCAAAAAGTTGCAAGATGTAAGAAAAACAAAACTTGAAATCTACACTGAGTCCCACTCAGAGATTGGTAACTTTCCTTTGGAGAGAGAGGCAACCTTAAAGGCCAAAGACTAAATACCATCAGCACCATGTAATCCTCTGCAGGTAAATAATCCATCGCTTTTGAATAACCTGTTCGCTACGTACATGAGAATTTGACATTTGAAAACACCCACTAAAATAATAGCTGTGATTTATTGAATGCTCATGATGTGCCAGAAACCACGTTGACTACTTGACCTATTCATATCTCATTGACTCCTCAAAGCAACCCTGTGAAGTAGGCATCGTGCCCATTCTACAGAAGAGGAATTTTCTCACTTTATGTGGCAAAGAATTTCAACTGAATGCAGTGTGTGTTTTCTTGACTGCCTAAAGGTTATTCCCCATCCTGTATACACAGTCTAGCCCTGAGTCAGTGACTAGGTGTGAGGTGGGGACCGTAGTAAACAGAGGATATGGCTCCTACTCTACCGTACCAGCAACAGAGAACAATATTAGATGCAACATCTTTGTTAAAACCTGTGTTTATACAGCCAGCACTGCATCTGCCTCCCCGTTCCTCCCTTTTCTTTCCTGGATGGTAGGGAAGCTCCAGTGACATAGGACCCTACCAGAGGCACTTGAGGATCTGAAGCCAGGGCTGGTTGTAACAATTTGCATTTGGGGGGAAAAGAAGATGAACTTCTGGCTCCTCTGGAGCCATGTTAGGCAAAGCAGCAACAAATCCTTGGGAATGACAGAAAATCACTCTTGTTTTATCAGTGACAGTGTATGACTTAGTCCTGGCCCATCTTTAAATTTTGTGGAAATATTTACACATTGTTTGAGTCCAAACTGAAACCTGTTGTGAACTAAACATTTTATAAATTCAGATAGACTGCCCACAATATTCTTTCTTTTTTGGTGGGGGGGAGGTATCTAGGATATTTCATAGGAAAGTAGTTTTCTTTGCCAATTCAACATCTTTTCTTTTACTTTTCTTCCTTTTCTTTTTCCTTTCTTGTTCATTTCAGATGTCAATCTACCTAAAACTGAAACCTGACCTTACCATCAGCTGCTGCTCAGCTTCCCTAATGCTGGAAGTATCCTCAGAATCTCTTCTCTGTCCTTTTCAAGGACCATTTCTTTTCTAAAGAATATGGAAATTG